AAAGCTTAAATTTAAAAAATCAACTTAAACGCATACTTGGTCGTTACTACCCAACGCTTAACTCCTACACTACTCTTAACCATTGTATTTAAACTGTTATAGCATGAAAGTGAAAATACTCAATACTAAATACCAGTAGCTTATTGTCAACACTGTTACTGTTAAGACTGACGTTTAAGACCCAATTATATAATTTTATCAACTTATCTATCACTCAGTATCAGTATCTGTCACGCTCTACACTGAACATATAATATATACACGCAATACACATCAAAACCAAAATAAAAACGGAGTACATATAAAATTTATTTAACAAAAAAAAACTTTAATTGTTCTCTCGTACATACAGTACACGCATTTGCATGTGTGAAATAACAAAGGCATCATTATTACAAAACTAATAAAGACACAACTTAAACTCTACAAACCCTTTCATTCAGCCTCACTCCTTCCTCGCTCACCATGAATACAGAAAAGTGATAGCGCTCAAAATTAAGATAGAGGAAGAAAAATCCAACTAGGAGATAACAAAATAAAATGAAACAAAAAATAAGTTAAATGTGTTAAGCTCTTTCCTCTGCACTCTTAAGTCAATAAATTGGGAGACAACAAAATCTACTTTTATTTATTTTTTGTTTTCTTTACCGTTTATTATTTAATCTTTCTATCGTTTAGTTCAGCTATGAATTTATAGTTACACTAACTCACCTTCTAGCTAAAGTATTGTTACGTCTCCGTTCGTTAGTTAATTTTCCGTAAAAATTCTTTCCGAAGAAACTTTACCGATACAAGTCCTTTCTTAAATAAAACTGGTTTATTCACGAAGCCTCGAGAATATGACGTGTTACTAATGCACGTGACCTCCGCTGTCGTAACACTGCCCCTTCCTTAGTATTGTTCGTCCCGAGCAATAGCCACTTACATTAAACCAATAAACAATTAACAATAACTTGATTAAATGTACAGAACTTACAAACACAAAAGTACAATTCAACAGAGTCTCTTAATTTTACGGGACGTATCTTCTTACGTACTGGTCTCCGTCTCGTTGGCTTCTGCTTCATGTGGGGTTTATCAGCTTCATCGGGAAATGTCCTATCATCGGTAACAGTCACATCAGTAGTAGTAACTTCATCAAGAGCTTCACTGTTTCCCTTCCCAAAACTGAGTAGAGTTTCTTCTTCGACGGTGGCTTTTTCAGGTGACACGTTTTCAGCAGCGTCATTTGTTTTGTTGTTCACTTTGTCCCAACTGAAATGTCCTGGACCATGGTAACGCCAAAGCCTGTTGGCATGCATCACTTTTGGCTTACCTCGCCGACCACATTTTATCCGGAAAGTCACGTCTCAGTGACGATCCACTATGTCATAGGGGGCCTTCCCATGGAGAAGACAACTTAGGAGACTTTCCTTTGGTCTACCTTGGATTATACAGCCACACCTTGTCTCCTGGTACAAAGCTGACTTCAGTAGATCTCTTATCATAAGTTAACTTCATCGAATTAGCAGACGTTTTCAAGTTTGAACACACTTGATGGTGAATATCATCCATCCTTTCCGATAACACTTTCACAAACTCTCAAATTTTCAGGCAACTCTTCATAACGTGGGCGTCCTGTTAACAGATCCACTGGCAACCGAAGTTCCAGACCAAACATCAACTTTGCTGGAGTGTATCCAGTGGCTTCATGCTCTGATTTAATATCTATACCTGTGTTGCGTCAGCGAGGTCACGTGACTAGTATCACGCCACTTCTCTCGAACCTTCGTGAATTATCGGGAGACTACTAGGTATGTGTTAGTCTGGTATATATAAGATGGTCACAACGTGAAGGGACAATGTGTAGGTAGTGAGTAATTGATCT